GACGTGAGCTCGTGCTTGAGGAAGCGGAAGACCTCCTTGGCCGGCCCGCGGCGCTCGGGCTCCAGCGCCAGCAGCCGCTGGAACATGCGCAGCGCGGGCTCGGTGAAGCGGCGCCATTGCGACGGCAGCCCGGGCAGGCGGCCCCGCTGCCAGCGCACGAACTCCTCGAAGAAGGCGTCGGCGCCCGACGCGGCCTCCCACGGGAAGTTGCCGGTGAGCACGCAGAAGATGAGCACGCCGAAGGCCCACACGTCCACGCCCGTGTCCACGGCGAAGCCGTCCGCACGCCCGGCCTGGCACACCTCGGGCGCCGTGTACGGGATGGTGCCGCTCACCCGCTTCACGCGGCAGCCCACGCGGCGCGTCATGCCGAAGTCGGCCAGCTTCACGCGGCGGCACTCGCGGTCGAAGAGCAGCACGTTCTCCGGCTTGATGTCGCGGTGCACCAGCTGCCGCCCGTGCATGAAGTCCAGCGCCAGCCCCAGCTGCTGCACGCAGCGCTTCACCGTGTCCTCTGGGAGCCCCACCTGCCGGGCCGGGGAGAGCCACGCTCAGGGGGCCGTGATCGCGCCTGCTCTTTCTCCCGTGGTGGCCCAGCGCCCTGACCCAGGGGCGGGCTGCCCTCCCCACCTGCCTCCCCCCACCCCGCCCCCGGGGACACATCCCCGAGCTCCTGGTCCCGATGACTTGGGCGCACGCTCAGCACCCTGGCCTGCATGCATGGTCTCAGCAAGGTGTTGGCGTCAGCCCAAGTCACCCACCGGGACATGGAGGCCGCACACCACCTTCTCATGTGTCAAGGAAGTGGCAGGGCAGTGGACTGAGTAACTCCAAAGCTGGGGTGCCCAAGCCACATTTCTCAGGGCAACCTTCTCTAGGGGCTCCCTCCCAGGTGGACCTGATCCCTCCAAACCCTGTACCCCAAGTTCTTCTGCATTTTCCCAGGAGGGTGTGAGCCTTAGCCCATCACCTTGTCTGCCGGGTCTGAGCTCCATGGGTCATCGGTCATCTGGTTCCCAGCAAAGGGTCTGCGTTCCCCACCAGAGGGGGGGGCAGTATGTCTTCCCCCCTCCAAACACTGGTCCCAGGTCCTCGGGAGGCCCATACTCCACACACACGTATGTGTGTGTGTGTGGGGGGGATATATTACACTCTGGGGACCCCAGCACCCCAAATACCTGAGGAGGGATGATGTCGAACAGGTCCCCAGCAGGCGCGTACTCCTGGGCGAAGACGTAGCAGTCCTCGGTCTCAAAGACCACGTCGAAGACCTTGATGACGAAGGGGCTGGAGGAGAGGCTGGTGGTGATGCTCACCTCCCGCAGGAAGTTCTTCAGCTTGGTTTTGCTCTTGTTCACAAACTTCAGCGCCATTTTCATGCCTGGCAGAGTTGACCATGGTGATGAGCCTGCCTCCCCGCGACCCTGTCCCTGCCCCATAGCCACCCACCATGGGGCCTCCAGAGGACCTGACTGCCCCCATCCTACAGGGAGGACCTAGAGAGGGGAAAAGATGTGCCCAAGGTCAGGCCAAGTTGGGGTCAACTCAGACTCTAGCTGGAAGTTGCGCGGTACACCCAGCCTTGCCGGCAGTCCGCTGTGGGGCACAGGTGGTGGGTGCCGTCTCCTCAGGCTAGAACCCAGTGCCCTGGTCTTGTTCCTTCCAATACCCCAGTGCCTACAATAGAGTCTGGCCCACGGGCACGCCACAGATGCCTGGGCGTGGTGAATGGATGAAAGAAACGGGACACAGAGGGGAGGGTGTGTAGGCACCTGTACATGCCCACCCCCGGCCCATAGCCCTGTGCTGGACACGTGTGTCCACAGAGCACTCGCACACCACAGGGCCATCCTCCAGCCCTTTACTAACTCCCTCCTTGTAATGACCCGGCGAGGTTGACACAGATGCCACTAAGGCACAGAGAGGTCGGGCAAGGTATCCGAGGTCACACAGCAAGCTAAGTGGTAAGGCTTATGTCCTGTGGGCTAGGTGGGCACCTCTGTAAGCTCCCCTGTGGGACAGGAGCCACACTTAGTGGCCCAGATTCTCAGGAGCTGCAGGACGTTGGCTAAGTGACATAATCTGTTTGGGTCTCAGTGTTGTCATTGGAGAGATGACGGTGGCCGCGGGGACCTCACAGGGTCATTGCTCACCCCCCGTCCAGCACGGTGCCCGGTTCCTGAGGCACCCTGCCCACAGCTCTGTGGCTGCCTGGCTCCAGCTATACCCATCTGTTGTTGACTCTCCCGATGCCGCTGCCACCAGATCCGACTGCTCCCAGAGCTCGTCACCCTGGGCACATCCCACAGACTCTCTGACAGACCTGAGGCAGCCCACCCTCCCATCTGGGTTCTCTGTCTCAGGTTCCTCCCTTCCCGGGCCTGCGCAGTCTCTGCCTCCTTATCCGCCTAGGCCCCATAGTCCCCTCTATCCTGGTCACTGCCTCTGGCTCCAGAGAGCTCCAGGTGGCTGAAAGACCTTAAACCCTGCCCCCCACCCCTCCGCCCCTTGCAGACACCCACCTGTGCCCTTGTAGGCCACCAGGTCGACCTTCCCGTAGGTGCCCTTGCCCAGCTCCCGGACGAGCTCATAGTGCTTGGTGACATCGCTGGCGGCCAGGGTGCGGAGGCTCAGGGCCTGCATGTCTTCAGTGAGGAGAGGCACAGCAGCCCCCGGCCCACAACAGGGGAGGGAGCGGGCCGGCTCAGGCTCTGGGCAGTTCACATTCATCTTCTCCCTGTAGTGGGATAGGGGCCCAGGTGCACATCAGGCCAGGGGCCCGTCCTCCCCAGTAGCACCTAGGCTCAGGGTGACCACCAGGGGGCAACAGCCACCTTGGCTGCATCTCTTTTCGGAGTCCCAGCAGACAGTAGTCGCTATGCCGGCCTACACTCGGGTCCCCAGCCTCCCTGCCCTGGAGGGGATGGTGCTGACTTCTAGGGAGGACGCTGTAGGATGGGGTAGGCTGCTCGGTGGGCATTTCCAAGGCTGTACCAGAGAGCCTCGTCTTTCTCCTGTGGAGCAGCTGATAGATTTGAGCTGGTGACCTTGCAGTCAGTAACCCACCCCTGCATAACACACAGTGCACCAGGTCTCTCTACACTCGGGTCTCCTGGCGCACGACTCCCTCCTCGTCATGCAGATGCAGTGTCAGCTGTCACACAGGAGGTGGCTCAGGAAAAAGTGGACCCAGGGTGGGGGAGGGTGGGAGTACCAGCCACTTCCCCACGTGGCCACAGACGGGGCTCTGCGGATACAATAACACCAGTGCACACAGTCTGAGCCTTATAGCCCCTCTCTCCACTGCAGATGACGACACCCCCCTTCCCCCAGGGACACAGGACTACAGCGAGGCCCCAGGGTCCCACTGGGTCCTTGGCCCTCCCATCACAGCCACTGCCGACCCCTTCATAGTGCCTTCACGGGCTGGGGAGGCAAGGCTGTGAACTCCGGCCAAGATGTAGTTCTCTTGTTCTCCGGGCTCACTGTGAGTTGGCATTGACTCGATGGCAGTGGGTTTGGGATGTTTACTCTCTAATCCCATGGGTGGCACTCAGCACCCTCAGAAGACCCCCACCAGTCTGTTAACAGCCCCCCCCCCTTCCCCTAGCAGCTCCAGGGCTCCAGCTGAGAGAAAGCCTGATCAGAGCTTGAGTCCCAACATGACCCCTTGCTAGCTGCATGTCCCGAAGCACATCACTTCCTTCCTTGGTGCTGCCCTTTCCTCATCCCCGAGTGGTACAACGGGGCTGGGGAAGGGTGCTGCCGGCATCACGGACTGCCAGGAGGACACCTCTGTCTTGGGAGACGCACAACAAGAATACTCCTGAGAGGCGAGACTTGGTCTCACGTGCATCCGGCTTGTGGTCAGTGGACATCACGCTGGGGAAAGTACTGGGGCAGCGGAAAAGAGGAAGGCTTTCCAGGAGATGGATGGATGCAGTGGCTGCATCAATGGGCTCAAACGTAACCACTGGGAGGACAGCACTGGACCGGGCAGTAAGGACAGCAACTAGTTGGAAGGTTGTCAGACGTACGAGGAGAGGGGGCTCAGGGGCGCTTGCAAAATAGGTCACACAGCCTTGAGAGCCCCGTGGACCAGGTCTTGTGTGCACAGCCCAGGGGTCTCCATGAGCTGACATTCCAAAACCGTGACCACTAGGACCTTCCTCCCAGGGGCTGTCTCGAGGACTCGAAGCCAGCAGACGTTAGCAGACGCCAAGTGCCGCCAAGTGTCAGAGGCTGAGGCTGCCACAGTTACCTGCAGGGTCTCCTTCAAAAGTCAGAGTGGACACGCCGGGGCTGAGGCCTGGGGGTTGCCTGTGGGCCCAGCACCCTCACCTGGCCTAGGAGCTCCCCACTCCAGGCCCTCAGCCCCCCTTCCCCTTCCCGCTCAGCACGACCCAGCCTCCCACTTCACAGCGAGGAGGGAACGTCAGTGTGGAACTTCCTGGCCTCCCACCGACAAATGGAGCTCCATCTGCACAATCCGCTCAGCTGGCGGGGGGGAGGAGGTATCCCCCTCAGCCTTGGCACCCACCCCTTCTGCTTCCTTGGGAGCCTGCTCCCCACCCCACCCACCCGCCCTGCCCCTCCATTCATGAGCAAGCTCAAGTGTTCCCTCTTCTACTAGGGCCTTCCCACCCCGCCTCCTTCCTCTCCCTCCCAGCCCATTCCCCTAGGAACGGACACACACACAGAGACAGGAGTCCATCAGAAACGCCACAATAGTGCCTCATGGTCCGGTCAGCAGCCAGGGCAGCCCTGACGAGGCCCCTGCCCCGGTGCCCCCAGGTAGCCTGACCTGGGCTGGAACGCAGTGGGGTGATATTCTCCTATGATCCTCTCTCTCTCTCTCTGGTTTTAGGGCCAGTGGCGGCCACCTCTTCAACCCCTGTGGCTGCCTGGGTGACACAGGCTCCTGAGGGGGTGTGAGGCTGTGGCAGGCAGCCAGCCCCAGGGGTCACGAGCAGGGCTGTCCCCCTGACCTACTTCCCCAAGGGCGGCCAGGTGAGTGGGCCACAGGGCTGCAGACACAGGTGCACACGTGGTGGCCGCTCCCTCCTGGGGCACAACCCTGCCACTTCAGGCTGTTTCAGCATTCGCAGGGCACTGGACTGGCCCCTCAAATTGCTTGCTCTCCCCACACACACCCTTAGTCACGAGCAGGGCTGTCCCCCTGACCTACTTCCCCAAGGGCGGCCAGATGAGTGGGCCACAGGGCTGCAGACACAGGTGCACACGTGGTGGCCGCTCCCT